TAGTATTCACCATTTAAAGATACTCGAATACTAGCAGCATTCACGTGATCAAACAGGGTAGGGTCTGAGGTTGCGACGTCACGTTTACCGGTTTGGAAACATACTATAATGAAACGTGGTCTTTCGATTGCGGTGCTAGTTTTAACTGACCATATTTCTCTTCTCGCATCTGCGGTAATTGCAGGCAGTTCATTCAGATCCCATTTTCTAAACGGTATAAGTATCGGCTTATCAGTTTGAATAGCTTTCAAAAGTTGTTCTTTCACATCATCACTCGGGTAAATATGTTTGATTTTCAGTTCCATGCTTTCAATAGTTATTTTCGCTGTCGTCGTCGTTCCAGTTTTTTCCTTGATAATGATACAATCGTTATCGTTTCTAGCTCTCACAAATCTGAGAGTTTGTCTGCCACACGTAATCATAGGATAATCATTGAAAATGTTGAAAATATGTTTAAGCGGCATTAGCAAGCTAAAAGACTTGTTATGTGTTGACGCCATTATAGGTGTTGAAGGATAGTTCCATCCAGCTATAGCCATATGATTTGAGTCTTCCTCACTGTAACATACGTAAGCTCGGACAGTACTTACAATACCAGGATCACGTACTGTTTCAACTTCTCTAGCGGATTCACTGTAAGTGCAAGAGTCAAATAGGAAGGCACCAAAGTTTGGAGCTAAAGATACATCTCCTGCTCCTCCTCCTCCAGTTATTTCAACTTTTCCTTTGATAGATAGAAGGGAAGCGTTCATTGCAAAGAACGAATCTACTTGATTGATGCTAAATTCCACAACATCATTACAATTAAATGACTTGATGAACGGCGTATAAGATCTATACTCAGCCTTGCGAATAGATTCATCGAATGCTGGAGATCGATATAGATCAAACATCGGAGAAGTATGTGATGCTGCTGCTGCTGCCTCCTCAGTTTTTCTCTTTTTGTACATGATTCTTGTTGTTGTTGACATGATATCCAAGTGAGCGTAGAAACAGGATATTTGATGTAGTTAGTAGTAGATGTCGTCGCTTAGGTGCTTGGGGTAATACTGAAGTTGCCTTGGAAGCACCACTATGTCTTATAATCACTAATCCCATCTGCGCTTCGCTCTCAACTCCAACACAAGAGTACTAGTTTCACCTTGAAAGTTTACAGGACGACCGTCTTGATCTAAAGCCAACACTGTGATGTTGGTTATTTCTTGTTTCGGTATAACAGGTAGATATAGTAAATTTACAGGTGTTTCGACTATAGCGTATCCAGGATCGGCTGTCACAGCAAATTCGTAGATCGTGTGTGCAGGCGTGTCTCCGTCAAAGGCTCCCGACGTAATGTTAGCATCAAAGTGTATGGTTGATACTTTTATTATGTTTACAGGTAAATCAGAAGAATGCTTTTGACCAGGATTAAGAACTTTTTTCGAGAATCCCAATAGATGTCCAAGATTATTCGGTTCTGTAAAAACTATTTTATAATACTTGCTAAAGATTTCACATTGCAGTGTATTATTGTTAGGTTTTAGAGAAAAATAATCATCCGGAGGAGCAACTTCATTTTCAAGATTCATTTGCGTTCGTATAAATGTTTCTATGTCGGTAATTTCATAACAACCTGTCGGAAACTCGATGACTTTTAATTGACCACCACCACCTATCCGGTCGATATAATAAAATTTATCTCCTTTTTCAATATTCGGTATGGAATTGTATGAAGTAAAAGACCTAAGCGCCAATTCATAATCTTTTTTCGGATCCAACACTATCGGTGTTGAAGGACGAAATGAAAATATATGAGTAGTGCTATTGACTCTCAACAACTGCGACATGATGAATGAAAAAATATAGCTGTGTACTAAGCATTTATTCAAGTTTTTTTTTTTGTTTATTTTCGAATGGATAATTTACAGAAATAACAATTTGCTTGAGCAGTAGCCGGTCCATCCCAATGTGTTGTCCAATCAGGTCTGTTGTAGTGAACATAGCATGGAAGTCGTATTTGAAGATCAAAATTGGATGTGTATTCTGCAGGCAGTTTGTGCCATATACTCAATAATTCTGCAGGTCTCACATTGCTTATTAAATATTCCAGCGGCGGAATATTCTTCTCAAACTCTTCTAATGTAAATTCCGATAATGTTTTATTATCCATCGTTGTTGTTGTTGTTATTGTTATTGTATAGAAATTTCAAACACAATTGTCCGCAATTAACTTGATTATAAGTTTGGTAAGGATCGTTGTTGTAGAAAATTTTAGCGTTTTTCAGATATCGAACAAGTTCCTGTGGAGGCTTCAGGTTACCAAATGAATCGAAATACTCAACGTTGTTGTTTATCTTTTTATAAGCTACCCAATGAGTTCCGTTGTTTTGTGAAATATCTAAGTTCACGACGGCGCATTCTCTTTTACGTGGACCGTCTCGTGGTAAAGTGTCACGCATGAAGACACCTCGGAAATGAGGTATGTTCAAGAGCTTCGCATATTGCTTTATTTCATAATCATAAAGCGCTTTCTTGGGTAGCTTGATGTTTAGTTTTTTTGAGTTTTTTTTTTGAGGTACAACCCATAACCACCTTTAGCATTTTTTCTCAAATACAATCCTTTGCCCAAAGACTCCATAGCTTTGTTATGGCGATGGTCTTCCTCCAATTTCTTTTGTGCATTCTTGGCATCAAC